AGACCCTCCATGCTGCCATAGCCTGAACATGCCTTTGACAACGATCTCGACATGTCCATGACCCCCGGAATCAGGGACTGCATCACCCCACCAGCAGCTGCTGATGACACACGGTTGAAGACCTCCATTAAGCTCGTTTTGGGTCCCTGATGATGAAATTGGTGACCACCGTAATCTCCCTGAAAACGACCACCACCCATCGGACCACTTCGAGCTCCATTGCTCGCCAGCGAACCCAGAAGTCCTCCATCCATGGAAGAGCCCGGTGCCATCGGAGCCCTCAGTGAACCCCACATAGAGCCCCAAGCCGCTTTCTCCCGAGGCATGCCCTCATTTACCATTCAAGGCGGTGGTTGCCCCCATGCACTGGCTTGCGAACTCCAGGTCTCTCGCTCATTCCACACAAAAACATTCTCGGTGATGAGGCCTTGGATGATCGCTTTGAAGGCCTCAGGGCCCTCTCTGGGAGGGCTAGCAACAGGCGTGTCACCTGGAACCAACTCTGTGGAAACAGAAGGAAGGTCAGCCGGTCGTATTGCTCTCAGGATTGCTTCGTCACGCATTCCCTCAGACCAAAACGGATTCCAGTTTGCGGGTCCTAGCACTGTAGGTGGTCCAGAGGGCAAAGCCATGACCCCCGCCGACGCCGGAACGTCCTCAATCGCTCGCATTCCAGCGCTTTCTGGGGTCTTCTCTGAAACTCCTTCTTCGCTCATGGCGCTCTAAGGCAACCTACAAAAATCCGAGAGCCTTCCAAAGCGCAGGTCAGCGCAATGTTGGGCTCATAACCCACAAAGGGTGAAGTCACACCTTTTTCTTCTCTTGAACAAAAGGCTTCATGAGATCAAAGCTCAACTTCACAAGTCCAAGTCGAAAACGAGCGCTCGGTATTTCAGCTATAACAACTCTAATTACACTACACGATATTTTCAGGAGGACACATAACTCACCCCTGCTCACAACCACCAACCCAAGCGTACTAGAGCAACGGAGTTTATCTTATCGAATCAAAAAAGCCGTGCTTTGGGATGGATTTGGGATGCGTGTTGGAACGCCGCAGGTGCCGGTGCCTGGGGTGCCAGGCTTGGTGGACTGGTTTTTTCACCGTTGGTTTTGAAGGTTTGGTTGTGTTAGTCTGATTGTTTCAGGTGATTCAAGTGCTTTACAAGAACAGTTAATTAACATACTTGATCATAAATCATAAAATTGATATATGGGTCTTTGGCTCTTTGAAAGGTTGCGTCAAAGCAAGAGACCGTTTGCGTTGCGTCATTGTTACCAAAGAAAATTGTGGATGATGAGCTGTTCCAGAGGGGCTGTCTCCATCTTTCAATCATGCTTGGCTCATATTGACAGTAGTAGTAGTAGTAGTAGTAGTAGTAGTAGTAGTAGTAGTAGTCGTAGTCGTAGTCGTAGTTGTAGTCGTCGTCGTAGTCGTGGTTGTCGTTGTTGTTGTTGTTGAAGCAGTAGTCGTAGTCGTAGAGCTCTTCTGTGAACTCTCCGATCCGTAAACGTCCAAATCCACGAGGCCGGGCGGTGACTCCCAGCCGCTTTGTGCGGGCGCCCGCGCCGCAGCCGGTACCCGCGCTGCAGCCGGCGGCCGCTGGGCTGGTGAGCTGAGCGGTAGCGGGCACGGACCTCTGAGTGAGTTATTGTTCTTTCCTTTTTTTCTTGTTTCTAGCGATGGCCTCAACCCCGGACTAGAATAATTGTTTGGGGTTCTAATTTGACAGATCTCGGAGACATTGGGGGGAGGCCACAATCACCAAAGGCATCCAAAGGCACGACGACATGCTTTGGTTGGAGGATCGATCTCTTGGAGCCTAAAGCCTTTGGATGAGGAACCCTTGAACCAAGGAAGGCTTAAGGGTGGTGGGGCTTAAGGGCGCTCAAGGGCCTTCATTATGGCCTTCATCTCTCAATAATATATTGTTTTTTTTACTTATATGTTAAATGTTCATTTGGTATCTATTTGTATTTCTATTTGGTTCATTCGCAAAGTCAAGCTCTGAAGTCAACCAAAACTGATTACTTATTTTCTTTGAGAATGAAAGGTGACAGATCAGGCCATCGAGTCAAAACTCGGGGCAAATGCGACGAGTGTTTTGTTACAAAGGTCTTGTGGTGCGCATCATATCATCACATCGAGGGTGGACTAGGGCTGGACCCCACGTTAAAGCCTTTTCGGTTCATCTACTACTATAATATTATGATACGTATTGTGTTTGTTGAGGGGCAGTGAGTTTTTCTCAATGGCTCTATTCATGTTAGGCCTCAGGCCTCACGTCTACGTTTTCTGGAATAAACATAACGCTCTATGCCTATGCTCAAGCAGACTGAGGTGCGCTTCTGATCAGGGCTGCCATCCCAAAGGAAGCTGCCAATCTGATCTGCTTGCCTCTCTTCTAGTGACTTCCCTTTCCAAGGACAATATTGACCATGTCTTGTTTGCTTGTGGGTCCCTGTGAGGTCAGGTAACGAGGTATCGAGCATTGGGATGCATGACTTGGAGACTGGTGCTGGAAGAGAGGCTCGGAGTTTCAAGTTGCTCGATTCGACCCGAGGCTTAACACCTGGCCAGGCAAGGTTACAAGGTGAACGGCGAAGCTGTGTCTCAAGAAGGGGAACCCCGAACTCAATGGGTCCAATGAGTGACACATCCATCCTGTATTGGGTTTTTGGGGTGCCCCTTTCTTTGAAACCCAGTGGAACCATGTGGAACCTTGGGGTGGCCCCCGTGGATGACGCATCCGCCCGCACAAGGCCAGGCTGTTGAACCTTTTGAATTCACCATGGGCACGACCGAAGGAGAATGGATAAGAGCTTCAGGGCGAACCATCTTCCGGACGGTCGACATGCTCACGAGCAGATACTAGCGAAGCAAGCCGAATGCTTGCTTACTTGAGGCTTTGGCAGAGACGGATTGCATGAGCTCTTCCGTAGTGGAAGGAGGCCCCTCAACCAACCGGTATTGCTCTTGGGGTTCGTGCCATTTTGAGAGTCCGGCACATGGACCAGATCGTTTTGTTTGTGTTCTCATTGTTCTCCTTTCATTCCGCCTCTTTCAACCAAGCCAGGGGAGAAACGCCCCATCCAAAGCGCGGCGCACAAAAGCGCATCGCGTTGCAGCGCAGGGAGGGTCCCAGGTTCGCGGGTTTTCCATGTGGATTCCAGGAGTCAATAGTTTAACATGTTAGAGCATTTTAAAGCCACATGCCACAGATCAAGGATATTCAATGATATTCATAGATTATACTGAAGTTCCTCTATAAAAGTCAACAACTTCCCACTGCTCCCCTACACATCGAACAGACCTCAGTGACTGAACTCACCAAGACCATGCGGAAATCCACTGGTCGCCCGACTTGGACCCCTGGAATAGGTTTTCGGGTGAGGCGACCCCGGTCGGACGCGGGAACTACGGACCCGCGCGGGTCGCGTGACGCGACCCGTGTGACCGGTGGGACCCGTGAGAGCCAGGGCATGGTCTGACAGGTCAGAGCACAGGTGGAAACGTGTGGGCGATTGACATGAACATGTGTTTTGCATATTGTTGCGAAAACAAAGACCTGGATAGATTAGAAGCAAGTACAAGGCAAACGTGTACTGTACCTTGCAAAATATACTGAGTGTGCAGATAGTTTTCGAAGTCCAAGCAGCCAGGCACTGCACATAATCCATCGAACAACCAACTGGCGGCCTGAGAACTCAAACACCATTTGATCGAATTGTCCTCCAACATACAGGTTATGAATTGGAGCAACGCACGGTCTTGTTGTGGGGTGCTGGACCCCTTACTTTATTGTTTGATCCTTGTAAAAGCGAAACAATATTCTTCTCAATGGGCATCGGCCCAGGCAATGAAAGCAGCCAACCAAGGAGGGCCCTAAGATTCCCAAGGAAGGCTCCGTAAGTCGGCAGGACTTGTGTAGCTGAGGGTCCTGCTTTTTGCTGCAGGGTGGTGATGAAACATCGAAAAGTCATTCCCACAGCGGTTTATGAATGATTTGGATTTACCATGGTGCCCAGGCAGACAGAACCCTTGGAAAATGTGTCTACCGAGCTTGACCTGTTTTGAGTGCTTCACTCGAATGTCCGCGTGCGGAAAACTCCATGTCTAAGAGGCTGGGAAGATGGACGGGCTTGGAGGCCTTGTTGAGTCCTGCTTGATGAGAAGACCAGTTAAGAAGTTACTCACCAACCAAATTGTTAGGAATGTTCCATGCAATGCACTATGATACCCCATCTTCTCTTCCACAAACGCCTGTGTATGTATCCCAATGCGACAAGATGCCCGGCGTGCCCCCAACTCGTCCTCGAGGTCCCCCGGCTTCTCCCCAAGGAGGCCAGATTCGGTGGCCGCAGATCCCTTGGTGGAAAAGAAGAGACAGACGCGTGGCGTGGCTTCTTGCGGAGCTTGGAGCAGGGGATTTGAGGGTTCTAGGATGTTCTAGGTCAAACACACTGACTGCAAGCTGGCGAATTAAGTCATTGCCTGGTTCTTGTCCATCCTTTGATTGAATATCCTTGAACTTGGGGGTCTCAGGTCCCGCAGAGGTCTTGCCAGCTCAAGATGTGCGCAACATGAATCTCAAAAGCATAGACTTCCAAGAATCAATGCAAGCATTCTGGACGCATTTGTACCAATTTGCGGCACAAGAAAAACCAATAGATCCGCTAGAAGGAAACTAGATGAAGCACCCACAAACAGCTTTCAGCAAGTGTGTTGTGCTCCCAAGTTGAAGACATAATGCAGTAGCTCTATACGTCAAGTTGTGCAATGTTTGACTCGCTTGACCATCTGTTAATTTTCCTCAACTTCCATGCTTTGTAGCTTCCCATAGGCACTTCTAGTCTGTTTGTTTCATTTTCACCTAGTGGATGACTCACAGCTATGTTTTGCTCAGAAGTGCCTAAGACGGTTGACCTCACGGCAATCACCACGTCTTGGGTTGAGTCATGGTCGAAGTCCCCGACCTCCCTTCGTCCCGCCCACGCAGGCCTACAGGGACAGTATCAGGATTCTCCTGCCAGGTGGGGTGGAAACCTAAGAAGTAGAGATGATGGTGGATCGTGATGATTATGTCACCCTGTGTGTTTGCACCTGAGCATTCAATGATTCATATGTATTCGGAAGTGTACAATATACTCGAATATATTCTTTTAATCTCTTGTAACATTTCAGAAATATGTTCAAAGATTATTCTACATCCCAAAGATGCGCAGAGTGGTTCTTCACTCACGGTGTGGGCTTTCGTGTTGACGCAATGTCTCCCAGGCTCACAGGAGTTTAAGCTACAACATGGGGCCGGTTGCATGACGATGAGGATCTGACCAAATTTATTCAATTTCTAATGTCCAAGAGTAAACTACGTATAGTATTTCCTAAACCGCGGGATCTTTGTGTCATCTCAATTCATAAACACTGCCGCAACAATGCATTTGACCCGAGAATTCAGTCAGAATAAAGGTAGACGTAGGAAGGTACCAGCACTTACACCCTTCAACTCGAGCGGTCGCACCTGCGTGAACTCACTAGCCAACAGCCAATGGTTTTAGCACAAGTTTGGATATTATACTGATACTGTACATTCCTTTGTTGTTGTTTGTGTTTTTTGTGGGTTGGTTAAGGAGGAGACTTGTGTTTGCGGTTGCTGTTGCAGGCTGAAAAACCTCCGGCCGTCGATGATGAGGAGAGACACAGACTTGCAGAGAGGTTCTTGATGGTCCATAATCATGATACATTCCTGCAAGGGGTCACTGGTGCACATTCATAAACCACAGGTGGTTTTCAAGAGATTCACCATGGATGAGGCCCAGTTGTTCAGAGGGCGGTATGTCAGGACTGGTCAAAAACACTTTGATTCATTCAGAAGGTGAACCTTGGCCCTGTTGCCTGGGCCGATTGGTGCGAGGACTTCGTGTTTTGCGTGATGAAGAAGGCGCCGGAGTATGTCAGGTGGATGGACACGTCGGGCAACAAGGACAAGAGAAAATCGTTGGATAAGACCGCACACTTTTCCACCTGTGGCAAACGGGCGCCAGGATTCCCAAGATTTATTGAAGACATGTTTTTGGAGCATATGAGGTGATTGGCATCCAATGTAGGCTTGATTCAGGCACTGGATTCAACACCCTGGCCCCCCTGTAGTATGTTGATTCTCCGGATCATTCCGGATCTCTTTATGGTGACCATCAGAACATAATCTCCGCGAAAGCCCTCATGTCCAACAACAGCAACATTCACACCGTGTCCCCTAAAGAGATAGTTTGCACCTATGCCGCGTGTTTGCCACTTCCGCTGTCGGAGAGGCAGACCCCGCTGCCTGAATCTGAGGCGCCACAAGACACACTCTGGGGAGGGGCTTGTGGAGTGGTCAATGTGTCAATGTTGTGCGAAAGGTAGATACCCACTGATAGAAGATCTTCACCTATGCAGCCTGGTCAGTTTTAGGAATCTTCCAAATGGATGCCTACACCTACGTACACTGCACATGGAATCTGCACCGCTTCTACTGCATCCATTTACTCCCTATGTTTCTCAAAGTCACATTGAACCCCTGTCACGCAACGATTCTTTCACCAACAAGCCTGCCCATATATATATATATATATACTGTACACTGATATATATATATACACATGCATATACCAAGGAGGGAATATCAAGGGGTCTTGTTTTGCCCTGAGGAAAACAGGTCAGATTCAGATAAATGAAATTGTCCTGTAAACTGTTGCTTTCTTATTGGAAGATTTGAGTTTCTCAACCGCAGGTCAATCTGAATCACTGGGAGGATCTGATGAGGTGCCCATCCTAGAACACCCACATGGTTAGGACTTAGGACTCATCAAGTCTTTGAGAGACACCCACATGCAGTGAGGTCAGTTCAATCGCCTTGCATGATATGTTTTGGCGACGGCAATGCAGCCTTGCTTCTATGGGAGGACTCACTAGACTAGGACACGACTCGGTTTTCTTCTTGGGCCAGGGACGCTACTAGGGGCTCCTGGCATCGCTACTAGGAGCAAGGACGCTACTAGGGGCTCCTGGCCTTACTACTAGTAACAAGAAGCTACTAGGAGCAAAGGGCATCGCCTATATAATCAGACGGGTGACACATGTGGCATGTTGATCAACGGTCCTGAGAGGCCCTTGCTGCCTGGCCTGCCAACCGCGCTGGTCTGAAGCATGAGCCCCGCACCAAAAGGGCGAACCCCGTCGTTTCACCCAGACCCCATGCATTGGCCATGGAAAAGCAGCTGCATTGATGACAGTCTGTCTTCCATGTCAAGCCATAGGTGGTATGCGAAAGCGGTTTTTGCGTATGTCAAAGGTATGCAGATGAATTGGGATCTGCATGGATCATGACGAAGGCGCCCCACACCTGGTCGCAACTTTGGCGACCTGCGTCAGGATGCCCCGACATGTGCGTCGTTCTCTGGCGTTTCTGCTCCGCGTCCCGACGTGCTGTACGGGTTGAGCTGGCCAATCGTCGCACAGTTCCTGGCGTTTCATTGCTCGATTCTTCAGCAGAAAGCCAGGCCGTTGCTCACCTCCTGTAAATGCGCGCTCTTGCTTTTGTAGGTCTCATAACCTGATACCAGCGACACTGAGCAATGATCACATGCGAGGCTCTGGGCTGATTCGCCGTGCGACTATGTCAATGGGATGCATGCCCGGCAGATCAGGCATCCACTGGAGAGGGCATTTGCATGTAGTTGCATGCTCTTCACCGTGGGTAATTACGGGATGAGACAACCCACATGCTTTTGGCTTGATCTTCCAGCTACAATAACCTAAACAACGCAAGGAGGGTTTCAGATGGGTTTCGGCGCGTCTCAGGTAACGAGGTTCTTTGAGCATCGCTTGACATTTGCGCATCTTGTTACTAGTAGTAATGGCCTCCAACCTAATAGCGATGGCCTCCACCTAGTAGCTTTTTGTTACTATAGTAATGCCTAATCTGAAAGGGGAAGACCTACGTGAAACTTGTTGAACTGGAGAATCCGCGATGCGGCGAATTGTTCAACCGATCAAAGCGAAGTCGACGATTTCATATCTTTTTCAAGGTGAGACCGATGACACCACAGTGACGGATGTGTGGCATGTATGTCACATAGGCTTGTTTGTCCACGATCCCGCGCCGTGTGGTGGTGGTCAGAGACTTCTCACCATTCTGATCATTCGCAGTTGCATCAGGAGATGCAACAATTTCTTCCATAAGCAGCATAATAAGCATTTTTTCTTCAGACTCTTTGGTGGAGAACTGCACTAAACGCTCAGAGTTGTGACCTCAGCATGCTGTTTGCAACAGTATTCACTGGTCATGTCATTGGCAAAGACCAGTGCCAAGCAGAACCTGTCTCTGAAAAGAAGTATGTCAAAAAGCTAAATGTCCTTCGTTCGCTGGGCTGGGCAGCTGAGAATGCTGATGTAATTCGCACGTGCCCAACACACTCAAGCCGCGTGGTTCCTCCTGCTCTTCTGTTCGAAGCTGCGCCTGCACTACACCCAGCCACGACCTTCCCCCGGCTGATACAGCTGAGTACGCGCTCAGTCATGACCGACGACCTCTCCTCCCATGCCTTAGCATGTGCTCAGCTGCCCCTCCACCTGGACGGCATCAGCCTGCGTAACGTCTCGGCTCATTCCACAATCGACCTCTTTGCAGATACCTGCAACCCCCCATCTCTAGCCGTGCCCCGTATACAATTCCTTGCTAGACACTCCCAAGACTATATTCTATTCAAATTCTACTCCATTTTGGCATGCACTTCCCCCAGGATCGGTTGCCTTTGACATATTTGACATCGACACTTCCAGGGAAAGGCACCGCATCTTTCTTGCTGAACCAACTCCGCACATTGACCACAAAATCCATAGCAGTGCAATGTTCATTGTTCATGAAGGGTGCTTTATAGCCTTACAGAGAAAACACAGGGCAGCCAACGTGGTGAATGAACAAGAAAACCAATCACCCCGCTTCCAAAGCAGCGCGCACTCCACGGTTTGCAAGCCTGGCGAATCTCTTCCTAGCCGAAGCTTCTGGAACTCGCTTCCGCAAAGACCGGAACGCAAGCATGCACAAACACACGGAATGTTTTCCTTTGCAGCCTTTGCACAGTGTCCAGCTTCCCACTCACTTCTTGCACCCCCCTTAGCTTTGGCCCATTCTCCCTCAGGGCCCAAAACCTACTGGCCTAGGCGCCCAAGTTTCCCGATATCCGTTCGTACAACGCAATCCTGTGAGCGGTTGTGAAGCAAATTCATCATCAACGTGTTTGTTTCTTTGTTTGTTTTCTATCATTTTCCATGTGTCTTCGCGTTGGGGTTGGTTTTGATTGGTTTTGATTACGAAGTGATTCCACAGCGGAATTTCATGTTCAATTGAGTCGAAAATTTATAAACCCGGTAGTATTAAGTAAAAAATGCTCCCAGAGGTTCAGAAATAGTACTCTGTTGCTTAACTTGGAGATGTTACCTTGTCGCGCTGGCAAAACGCTGGGTTGCGCTAGGTGGCGATAGGTTCAAGTACTTAGGTAAGATTAACAAACAATACATACATACATTGACCATTAAACTTGTTGAGGCATGCACGGACAACCGGTGGGACAAAACATTCTTTAGCTGAGTTCATTTTTGTCTGTGCGTGGACACAACCATTTTGGCAGGGGACACCAACACCCATCCATTGCGGGCATTTTCCCATTGCGTTTCGACACTTCGTGCGTGGAAGAGCTATTGTATAAGCTCTGTCAAAGCCAGGAAAGCCCGCAGGCCGCAAAACGTGCTCTTGATCACAGCTAGATATCAAACAAGTCCATCAATTTGCCTTGCGTTCCTTCACATTGACCACTAAGACACACCCAGAAGGCCCAGTGTTCAATGTGTGCCCTATTATCATGATGAACCTGTTGAATTGCAGCGTGTTCCAAAGCAATGCGCGATGTGTTTCAAAACCCACATCCGCAGGGCTGTTTGTATGAAAAGGGGGATCACAGGCTTGACTTGTTTTGCCTGCTGCGCGCTACCAATTCCAACAGGCTCTCTGGTTTTCTTCATTCTTGCTAGGTCCTTTGGAACTCTTGCACCAATCCTGGCAGGTCCTGCCGTTCTCGAGGCATAGGCCGCAGCTGTTTCCCAGGATTTCCGCCAAGCTGGCCAGTGTAGTGAAGGAACCTGGTGAGAACCACATGGCTTCTCCAAAAACAACATTCCAAGCACACCACCAAAATGCACGGCCACCTGACCACCATTGCGCCCAATTTCCTGGATTTCGTGGCGCGAAAGGATTCGCCGCCCGCCGCCTTTTGCAGCAAGGCTTCAAAAACACAAACAAAGGGGTTCTTCCGCAAACCTAGACGCGATTTGTTGCGCGCATGGCGCGCGGTTTCACCCAACCGCGTATTTGTCCGGCGCATTCATGGCCCGGTGCCTGCGCACAAACGACAATAGAACGGTTGTGCTAAAGAGTGAGGTGGGGTTGGGGTAGGGCGACTTATTTTGAGGAAGAACTGTGAAAATGGGGTTGGCCACCAAACCAGTGACATGTAATAAAAAGGGGTTGGTTCCTTGATTCGATTTTTTAGCATGTTGGATTATAGAATCAGCCATTTTTTGACATGTTTTGTATTGTGGCGTGTTTGGTGATGACATTTTGCAAGCAGCCTGTGGCTGCTCGCTCAGCTGTTGCAATGCCAGATTTGCAACAGTTCAATCACAGCTGTCGGCCGAGCTGCAAAATCTAGATGAGAACCGCCTCTTTATTGTTTGGTGAGTCTAACTGCAGAATATCTTGGTCAAGCGCACGTGGAATGACTGCATGCCACTTTCCAAAAAACATCGTCGCAGGCCATCCATTACAGCCGTCTTAGGAAGCAACATGTTGGCAGGGTTAATTCTATTTCAACATCTTGATTTCTACAGATGGTTTGCTCACTTACCCTCAACTCATTTTCTAAATCATGGCCACTATCGTGGCCTTGCCTGATCACATTTCTACGTTGGCTCACTTTGAGACTGCACCGTCAAGTTTCGTGGCCCGGGTGGTCCCGGCCCTTCACTGAAAAAAGTCATTGAAAGTGAGCAAATAAGACATCCTTACGCGCCTCGCCGGCAGATGAGAGTGCGACGGATGAAAAAAAATCCCTGTGCTCAAATAACCATATGCAACCGTATGAGGAGCAAACCATGGCGAAGGTTTTGTCGGTCGCCCGCTTGACCCGCTCGCCGGCCACCGTGCCGCCTAACCCGGGCCACCTCTGTGCCGCCGGCGCTCCGCTAGAGCGGGCCGCTGCCAGCCGTGAAGCTGGGGCCACGGTCGCCCCGCACGCCCCTCTCCGCGAACTCAACGTCGCCGTTGCCACCCTTGATGAGCGCCGCATCGAGGTCATCTCGAACGGGCTACCGCTCTGGGGAAGAGCGCGTTTCGCTGTCGACACGACTATTGTGTCCGCACCGCCGCTGGGCACGCCCGCCTGCAAAGAGCAAAAGCAAACAGCGCACAGGAAGGCCAACGGGGATTGTTTTTTTGCTCTTGATTTGCGTGGGTTGTCCTGCCACTGCGGGCGTCCAATGTCTAGCAAATGCTTACCCATCAGTGGACCCAAAATCGCGCTGATCGCATCGGCAGTGGGTGTCCGCCCCGCATGACGGACTCTTAGGTTTAGTTCCCCAGATAGCGGAGCTATGGGGTTCTTACTTCAAATAACAATGAGTTGCCCGTGCGCGCTTTCGAGACAGGTTGCTGGTGCTGGGTGCCGGTGCTGGTGCTGGTGCTGGACATGGTGGAGACAGGTTGCTGGTGCTGGTGCTGGGTGCCGGTGCTGGTGCTGGTGCGGGACATGGTGGAGGCAGGTTGCTGGTGCTGGTGCTGGGTGCTGGGTGCCGGCCGGGTGCCGGTGGTGGTGCTGGTGCGGTGAGCTGGCTGTGCACGTGGTGGAGTTGCTGGCACCGGGTGCCGGTGCTGGTGCTGGTGCCGGGTGCCCGTGCGGTGCTGGTGCCGAGTGCCGGTGCTGGTGCTGGGTGCTGGGTGCCGTTGCTGGTGCTGGGTGCTTGGCGCCGGTGCTGGGTGCCGGGTGCCGGTGCTGGTGCTGGTGCTGGGTGCGCGTGGTGGAGACACGGTGCCGGTGCTGGGTGCTGGCAGTGCGCGTGACAGAGAGACCGCGCGCCGGTGCCGGTGGTCTTAGCGGTGCTGGGTTGTGGGCGTGCGGCTGGTGGAGACATGGTGCTGTGTGCCGGGTGCTGGTGCTGGGTGCTGGGTATAGCGGTGCACCGGTGCTCGGTGCTGGCGTGCGCTTCTGACAGTGAAGTGATCACAACC